TGAGAAGTTTGTTGCAGCCACTCTCCTGGTGGGTGACCAGATGGGATAGTTTGTACTGCTGGCTGTGTGACTGCAAAGAGTTAAGAAATCTCTTTTTATCACTTGCAGTGTTATATATTTTTGTAGTATCTCCGTTCGCTCCAGTATGTATGTATCTATGTATCTATACACTTATGGACCATATTTACATCATATGTATAAGAAAAGCTACGCCATTGTAAATCAAATTTTCCCCAAAGAGACTAATAAAAATTGACTTATTGATTGATATTATCTGTTTGCTTCAGTACAAATGTATCTATGTTTCTATACACTTATTATGTACCATATTAATGTGCATTAATTAACTCTTTAACCACGTCTGGACGGTACCACCATCCGAAGCGAAGTTATTATTGTATTGTGGTACGGGCCGAATGTAAAAAAGTATGAGTTAATAAGCCCTTAGTTTGACCCGGAAGTCAAAGATAAATGAATTCTTCATCTGGGTAATGCTTTACTGATCAGTTTGACACAAAACAAGCGTTTTAAAAAAAGTAATATGTGAGGCAGCGTGGTGGAATCAGGCTCTCGTCAAAATAATCAAAGTGAAGAAACTTGCATTTTTCCGTAGGTTTGTGAATTTTTTTCAAATTTGTGTTTTTCGGCTCAACACATTTCATGACCTTTAAAGAATTCATTTCTGTGTGGATTTTTCTGAAAAACAATGATTAAAGGCACAAAAAATGTAAATTTTCAGTTACCACAGACTATTAAGATAAGGAAATAACTAATCTTTGGCGGCTATTTTCTCACTAATTTTACCATTGAAAACAGGTGACCCCCAACTCCTTCTTTCGCAAATATCTCAGCTTGTATTCAAGATAAATGGATATTTTTTTCATCCAAATAAAGACAACTGAATAAGCTTTAAGATGATACCAATAACTCCACATGCCCAAAAATTGACGAGAGCCTGATTCCCCCACGCTGCCTCACATAATATGTCCGATCGCATTTCCCCAGTAATCTGTCACCTGTTTCGTTGGCCCCGAGGACAGAGTCAATATTCTTCTGCACCCCCGCCAGACCAGCACGCATCATGGTGCCGTAGTGTGTGACGTTCATGGGGATGACAGCCGAGTCAGACACGCGAAGCACAATGTCACTCAGGATCTGTGGGGGAAAACAAGTGTGTATGTGTATGTGTAAGTGTATGTGTAAGTGTAAGTGTATGTGTATGTGTATGTGTATGTGTATGTGTATGTGTATGTGTATGTGTATGTGTATGTGTATGTGTGTGTATGTGTATGTGTATGTGTATGTGTATGTGTATGTGTATGTGTATGTGTATGTGTATGTGTATGTGTATGTGTGTGTATGTGTAAGTGTATGTGTAAGTGTAAGTGTATGTGTAAGTGTAAGTGTATGTGTATGTGTAAGTGTATGTGTAAGTGTATGTGTATGTGTATGTGTAAGTGTATGTGTATGTGTATGTGTATGTGTAAGTGTATGTGTATGTGTATGTGTATGTGTATGTGTAAGTGTAAGTGTAAGTGTATGGGATTAACGCCCCTAGCCTAATAAACTACTTTACATGTATTACGTTATTAAAGAGGCCGGACATCCGAATTTAACGTCCATCTCCAATCGGAGCCGTGAAAGAATGCAGACTAAGACTACTCTCAGACAGGTCAGAATATAGCACAGGGACTACACATCTGAACTAAGGATTTTAAATTTTTTTTTATAGTAGAGGGTTTTACGGCGCTCGCAACTGCACAAAGTCATACGAGCGCCAAGGGGTGGATGTCACCAGAGAAGTCTTTACAGGGAATCAGACTTACTCTGCTCACCTCTCTAGCTTCACAAGCACAAAGTCTGCTTCGCAACTATCAAGGCACCCCGGATGGAAATAGCGGGTCACAAGAGTGTGACAGACATATAAAAGAAGTAGAGGGAAATGACGATAGCACGGATTAGGAAAGACAGCAGTTACCTGTTGCAGTTCAGGCACAGTTATGAGCATGCCATTGATGAATCAGCCCATTTACAATTCTACTGTGCATAAGAACATGGTTAATGTCCTCCCGGGGGTGTGTGTAAATGTAAGTGTAGGCCTAAGGGTTTAACGCTCCAAGCCCATCAATAACATTACATCATGTATTAGGTTATTTAATTAAATTGAGAGGTCGGACCACCAAAATTTAAAGTCCATCTCAAATCAAATCGAGCAGCGGAAGAATGCAGACAAAGACTACTCTCAGGCATTATAGAATACGACACAGTCATTACACACCTGATCTAAGGATGAGTGCAAACAAAGACTACTATCACACATCACATTACAACATATAATTAATTATGACACAGTCACTACATACCCGAACTAAGGAAGAGAGCAAACACAGAACAAAGACTACTATCACACATCACAGCATGATATGACACACTACACTACACACCTGAACCAAGGAAGAGTGAAGACTGTAGCCGGGTCTCTCTCTCTCTCTCTCTCTCT